AGATCTCTTTCAAGAAAAGGCAGAAGTATGGAGTTATATGTGAAACAACCCAAATTTCAAAAGTTGGCACTATCTCAAAAAATTTAAAAGCAATGTCTGGGCCAAATAGAGTACATGTGAGGACCAATTTTTAGAGCATTGAGGTCTCTGTTCTAAGAAATAAACACAGAGTGCTTTTCTTAAATTATTACCCCTAAACGATGTCTAGTGATGAGAGAGACGAGGAATTTTGTTCATCTGCATTCCCTCTGCTGCACCTTCTTCCTTTCATTTGCTTGTTTTTATTAGTATATTATGGCTTATATTATTATTCTATCAGTGACATTTATGACTTTATATATTATGCTCCGTTAAAAAAATTGTATCAACTTTTTACAGCATCTATAATGTAAGGAAAAAAGCATTGTTCTTTAAGTCTCTGGTGCTAAGAAACATCCTTTATTCTGTATCTGCAACATTCCAGGCACTTTACATTCACTTGTCCATTCACTCCTTCATTCATTCAGTCCATTCATTCATTCAGTAAATATTGAGTGTCTACTTATGTGCTGTTCTAGACACAGGAAATGCAGAGGTAAACAAAACAGGCAAAATGCCTTGCCTTTGTGGAACTTCTATTCTTGCAGGGGACATGGATAATAAATTAACAAATAAGTGAGCTACACAGTCTGCTGGAGAGTGACAAGGGCCAAGGGGAAATAAGGAAGCAGGGAAGGGAGAATGCGAAGTGTCAGTGTGTGCGTGTACATGTACGTATGCATGTGTGTATATGCGTGTGTGTGCATGTGTGCGTGCACATGTAAGAGTGGAATTTTAGCTGTGGTAGCCAGGGAAGGCCTTCCAGAGAAAATGGCTTTAGAATAACACATGGAAAGGAACTGGGCCGTACAAGTATCTGTCATGGGCACATTCCTACCACAGGGCACAGGAAGAGCCGAGGACGGGAGTCTGAGTGTACATGTGTTAGAAGTGATTGAGAAAAGATGAGGTCTGAGAGGAAAGGGTGGGCACCCCACAGAGGGCCTGAGAGGTGGTGGTAAGTGCTCCACTGAGTAAGAGGGGGAATTACGGGGAGATCAGATCAGAAGAGTGACGTGGACTGACTTAGGTTTTTCTTTTTAATAAATTTATTTTATTTATTTACTTTTGGCTGTGCGGGTCTTCGTTGTTACGCGCGGGCTTTTCCTAGTTGCGGCGAGCGGGAGCTACTCTTCGTTGTGGTGCGTGGGCTTCTCACTGTGGTGGCTTTTCTTGTTGTGGAACACAGGCTCTAAGTGTGTGGGCTCAGTAGTTGTGGCACGCAGGCTCAGCAGTTGTGGCGCACGGGCTTAGTTGCTCCGCGGCATATGGGATCCTCCCGGACCGGGGCACGAACCCGTGTCCCCTGCATCGGCAGGTGGACTCTCAACCACTGCACCACCAGGGAAGCTCATCACCCATTTTTTAATTGGATTATTTGCTTTCTTGCTATAGAGTTGTTTGAGTTCTTTATATATTTTGGAGATTAACTCCTTATCAGATTTATGGTTTACAAATATTTTCTTCCATTCTGTAGGTTGTCTTTTCAACTTATTGAGTATTTCCTTTGCTGTGAAGAAGGAGCATTTGGAGGGTGAGTATGAGGTTCGAGTTCCTGGGTTCCAAGTGAAACCTGTTTGTCAGGCTCTCTGACCTTTCTGCCTACGTGAAGCAGGTGTGTACATTAATCCAGCATTAGTGTGACTAATCTACAAGACGGTGTTTGCAGGGATTGATTCTAAGGTTGGGATATGGGATCTAGATTGGACAAGAAGGAGAATGAAGCCCATGAGCTTCTTGACGGATTTTGGAAAAGCAAAATCCCTGGGGTCAGGGATCTGCATTTAGAGGTGAAAGATCTCAGTGAGGTCAGAGAATTATTGCCTTGGGGAGCATTCGCGTATTAGGAGAAAAGTTATTACGTGGTGACCAGGAAGTGGGATGTTTGATATAAAATATTAAGGGTGAGTAGTGTTTGAGGTTGACCATGTTCAGGACGGAGCAGGTAAAGTGCAGCAGGAGGCCGCTGGGATGGCAGGTACAGAGCCTGGCAGAGCTGTGCTGATGAGGGGTCAGCCAAGCAGATGCGGGAGCTGGAGAGGAGAGGGTCAGTCATCAGCCTTATAAGCCTTGGTTTCCTAACCTGCAAAGTAGGGGTGGAGATTTCCTTTCCAGGTCTGATGACCCATGACCTCAGGCACAGGCTGTGTTTGGTTTCACATCTCGTCCCATGAAAGGCCAGCCCCGTGGAAGCAGCAGGCAGATGCTAAGTGGGTGTACACAGCCTGCTCCTCTCCTGCAGGAACCCATCCCCCCATCCCTTCACTCCTCCTTGAAGGACACTTGTTGTGGGGACCTCGCTGGTGTCTCACTGGTTCCAGGCTGACACTGCCAGCGCTCCTCTCCAGGAGGGTCTGATGTGAGAGTAACTGAGGCCCCCTGTCTCTTTCTTGGTGCTTATGACTTCCTTGATCATCTCACCGTAGCACTGCATTAACCAAAGACTGAGAAGCATATCGCCCATGGCACTGGAAATGACTTTAGATGGTTCACAAACATCATATAAATGTGCTGAATCACATCACTGTTCTTTCAATCCAGACACAATCTTAGGTCGGTGCTACACCTCTCTCACACTTGCTAAGCCCCCTTTTTCACCACAGAGGAGGCCTTAAGTTCAGAGCCCTCAGTAGATGACAGTATTTCGTAAGAATTCAGTGAAACTGGGTTTCTTTCTACTTCTGTTATTGACATTCATTTATTTTTTGGTACTCACCAACATCACCAACAAAGGGTATTTGACAGCATTAAGTCTGATCGTGTCAGTCCACTGTTCAAAGTTCTGTGGTGGCTTCCTGGTATGCTTAGAAGAAAGTCTGAAATGCTTCTGTTTTCTGGAAGCTTTTCATGACCTGACCCCTGCTGACTTCCCCCTTGTCTTCTGCCATCACTCTACCCTCCACTCGCTCCTCCTTGGCATTCCTCCAAGATGGAATCTCAGTCTTACCTCAGGGCCTTTGCACATGTTGGGCCAGCTGCCCGGGATACTCTTGCCCCAGATCCTTCCATGGCTTCCTCTAGATCATATAGATCTGTGCTCAGGCGCCACCACCTCAACGGGGTTCTCTCTGATAAGCATCGCTAACTGACGCGCATCTCTCTCTCTCTTTTTCTCTCCTTCCTTCCTTCCCCCCTCCCCCCTCCCTCCTTTCCTTCTTTCCTCGTTCCCTCCCTCCTTCCCTCCCCTTCCTCCCCATCTCTCTCCACCCACCCCATTTCTAGCTCTTGTTTCCAATCTATCTCCCCCACTAACATGACCACTCTTCGTCTTGTTCCCTGCTGTGCCCTCAGGGTCTAGAACAGTGTCCAGCACACAGTAGAAGCACAATAAATATGCATTTGAGTGAAAAAATAAATTAATATAGTTTCCTTTTAAAATCCATCTATTTAAGTTGAAAAGCAAATCACTTTAGAGCGTTCAGTAAGTAGTCTGTGTAGTGCAGTGTAAGAAACTACAGGAAGGTGCTAGGTGATGGGCACACACGTGAAAGGCTCTGCATGAGAGTAGGATTTGGGAAATGCTTCCCTGAAGTGATTCTGGGATTATCTGGGAGAAGGAGAGCTACCCAGTCCCCACCCTGCAGATCAACGAACAGATCACATCACTTTTCTGGTTGGTGCTCACAATTTCTGACCACCTAGTAGGTACCCTCAAATTGTAGATTTCTCTGATGCTCTTCCCCTTTCTGAACTGCCCTCACTGTTCTCCCCACCCAGGGCCAGATGCCCCTGGAGGCTGCTGGGGCACTTACTCAGCCATTTTTGAGCACCTGCGATGAGCCCAGCCCTGAACTAGTGATTGATAGGTATCATCTCTGTATAGTGAGTAGTATCGTCCCCATTATACAGATGAGCAGTTACTCAAGTCACACACCTAGTTGTCCCAGGGTAATATGTTTGCGATTTCAACCATTTTCCCCTTCATGTCTCTTTCCCTTCATGTTCAGTAACACCCCTCCCACCTATTCAATTCAAGCTGCTTGGCTACTCGGCTACTTGGCTACTTGCCTTGCTCTGATTTAAGCTGGGATCCTCAAAAACCCAGAAGCAAAAAATATCTCACAGGACATCAAGGACGGAGGGACGAACTAAAGGCTGTGATTTAGCCACAGGTGTGCTGAGTTGAGCTTAAAAAATGATTTTTTCAATTAAGAATCAGTTGCCACTATTAAAAAATCAGGAAATTTTACACCAAAGTCTGAATTACTGGTTTTTTTTTTTTTTTAATTCAGATGGTCAGGCCACAATGGGCTCACATTCCTTCATGGCAGGCACCAGCTGCACTTGAGTGTCAGTCATCCCTGATAGAGAGGCCTGTGTTCACCTGTTTCCACAGACCTCACTACTTCCTATTGTCTTACCACAGTAGACTTCACTCACCTACATCCCCCACCTGATCTATGAGTTTATGACCCTGAACAAAAAAGAGGAGAAACCACCCTAAGACCAGAAGAGCATTCTCCTAGGCTGATAGGAAAGGAGAACTGAGAAGGTTTGGGGATCCCTGGGTAGAGAATTAGATCTGAAGGGGCCAAAAGGACAGCTGTAAGCAGTGATGGGCTGGTAAATGTTTAATAACTGCTCTCCAGGGAAAAAATGTGTGTGTGTGTGTGTATGTGTGTGTGTGTGTGTGTGTGTGTGTGTGTAAATTTTACTGGAATAAAGGATGTGTTTGTTGCACAAAATTGACAATTTGGGCTTCCCTGGTGGCACAGTGCCTGGGAGTCCGCCTGCCGATGCAGGGGACGTGGGTTTGTGCCCCAGTCCGGGAAGATCCCACATGCCGCGGAGCGGCTGGGCCCGTGAGCCATGGCCACTGAGCCTGCGCGTCCAGAGCCTGTGCTCCACGACAGGAGAGGCCACAACAGTGAGAGGCCCGCGTACCGCAAAAAAAAAAAAAAAAAAATTGAAAATTTACAAATAATAATACTTTATTGTAAATACTCTTTATTGTAAATGCCATCTAGCCAATTAATTCTCACAGAAATGTTTTTGTTGATTTTTCTGCCAACCTCTTGATTCCAAAGCCAACTGTCACTGCAATTTAGCCACGATTTAACAAAATTAGACCACGAAGAAATGCTTGACAACAATATGACTCAGCAAAGAAGTTGCTGACGTCACTGACGCATGAATGCAGTTCTGACATGAATGCTAGTTGAAATGTTTGTTCCTGTTAATGAATAAGACAAAAGTAAAACAACAAAGACTTGTGTCCAAACTCCTTCACCAGTGACATGAGTCACCTGTTGGCTGCACTGGATAATAATCCCCTCCATTTTTTGTGCCGTTCACAAACGTATCAACTACAGGCAGAACACACTGTTAAGTTTAATTTACATCATTAACATTGTATCCATCACATTCTTAAGACTGGACAATCAACAAAACGACAAATCAAGCCCTGATCTGTGGTGTTCCCCAGTCCCTGCGGTGCAAATGCACTCCCCGTGGGTCACTGAAGGCAGACCCGGCAAGGGATGGGCAGTGCCCTTACCCCACGTTCCTCATGCGAGGCAATAGGTGTAAATTACCTTAAGAGCACAGATGAGAGCAAAATGGAGTAAAATAAGGAAGTGATGAGTTTTTAGTATGTATTACCTCGGTTTTAATATAATTTATTTAAGTATACATTTAAATAATTTAATTTTTTAGCAGCTGTGTTTAACAGCGAGCTTGCAAAACTCCTGAAAATTTAACAATCAGCTATCACAAGCCAGCACAAGCCGGCTCCAACACACCACTGGATCTAAGGGAAGTAGCTAGAAATGAGAGACAAGGACTCAGGGGAGGCCAGAGTCCTGTGGGAGAGGAGCTACTTGCTCAGTCTCCGTCTGACTCACCCCTTGGCGGGGGTGGAGGGGGCGGCCCTTGACAACATCCCAAAGGTGGGGACCTGGGTATTGAGGGTGAGCAGAAATCCCGTCCATCCTGACCAGCTGAATGGGACCAAATGAAGACCCTCCTGATGGGAGACAGAGGTTAAATACACCCCTGGGGGCATAGTCATACCCATTCTGTAGATGTGGAAACTGAGGCTTCAGGGAGTTGTTACTTATCCAGGGTCACTAGCTGCCGAGAGGTGGAGGCCACACCGACAGCCAGGTTTGTTAGCTTCCGACCCACCTCCTTTCTGCAGAGTCCGCCAGCGCCATCCTGGAAACAGCTCCTGGAGCTCGTGACCTGCACTAGGACGGTCCTCGGATTTTAGTGCACACAACTCTGGAATTCTGTTCACCATTCCCCTAATTAAAACCTATGTCCCTGAAAGAGATGACTAGCAACTTGAGAGCAGGACCCATGCTGAATATCTGTGGTATTGCCGGCACTTAGAATTCCAGCTCATTGGCATCAGAAGAGATCTTAAGAACCCCCTGGGTCAGAGCTCCCATTGCACATACAGGGAAAGCTGAGATCCCCAGTCCGACAGCAAGAACACCAGCAGCCTCAGGCCTTGAACTCAGGACTAGAGCTCCGACCAACCATCTGAGTTGCTGGTGAATGACAAATATTCCAGGTAAGAGAATCAGAGGGGTTGAACAAAACGAGATCTGAGAGCCAAAAAGCCGGCTTCCGCCTCCCCAGAAAGTCCCAACCAGATGGAAAAAGAGAGCAGAGAATATGGTATCCTCAGCTGGGTTTAGGGGTGATTCCAGGAGAGACTTCCTGCCAGGGTGGTACCCTCGAGATCCTTTGAGAAAGCCCATAGAGCAACGAAGTCTCCATAAGATGTTCTCATCATAAGTTCATTACTGCAGAGATGCGCAGAGTCAGTGGGGAAACTGAGGCAGGAAGGCAGAGCCTCAGGAACCCTCAGAGCCTGAGACTCCGCCTGAAGACTTCTGAGTTCTCAGATTTTCATCCCTTTTGCCCCAGCAAAACAGACCTCTTCCGGAGCAGGGGTGCCTCTTGAAGGACCAGCTAGGACTTATGCTCTGGCACCCAGGCAAGCAGGAAGCTGAAGGCTGTCTGCTAAAGCCATGGTCCCAGCATTTTCCAGATGGACTCCTCAGCAGGCCGCAGAGACCTCAATTCGGCTGTACTGGATGCCAGCCGGGCTCTGCCTGTGGCCAAAGCTCAGGGCGAACCTGGAGAGCAGAGAGTAAGTGGCGTCAGAGGGTGACGGGGCCTGGTGGCCTTCCCCGGGGGGTGATGGGAGTGGACCATACCTGGGATCCCCATCCCATCCCCACCCCACTCCTACCTGACCCTCCCTGCTTCCTGCCTTAATGCGCATTTCCATCTTCTGGACCACCCAGCCGCTCCCCACCCCAACCTTCTTCCTGTGTCCACCCACGCCTCCTACAGCCGGTTCTCCTAATCACAGGACTGACCTTTCTAAGCACGAAGACCAACTCCTGTCACTCCTGCTGAGAAGTGACGTCACTCTCAGCCTCATGTCCAAGCCCCTCTCTGCAGCTGGCCTCTCCCGTGTCACCGCCCTCCAGTCCCATCTTCCCATTCCACCCCGGCCACATGGGTCTCCTTCTTGCTCTTCAAAACCCCCAGCTTGTTCCCACCTCGGGGCCTTTGCTCTGGCTGTTCCCTCTGCCTAGGACACTCTCTTCCAGCTCTTGGAAAAGATGGCTTTTTCTCATTATTCAGGTCTCAGCTCAATTGCCACCTCTTCGCAGAGGCCTTCGTTGAGCATCCTTTCATTCATTCACTAGAGCTAGAGTCACTGCTGGCCTGTCATGGGCCAAGCACTGTTCTAGGCCCTGGGAATAGACCAGTGAACACAACAGGTACACAAAAATGTCCTTCAATGTCATGAAGAGCTCATGATCAACTTGCGTCATTAATGTACCCATGGTACACTTGGACCCTAGCTGAAGAGATGGAAAGCTCCACACTGCCGCCAAATCCACTGTTCGCCCTCTGACAGTTAACCTGCCTTATTTTCCTCATGATATAAACCCCACTCTCATTTATCTTATTCCTGCATTTGGGTGTTCTGTAATCCATCTCTCCCCTTTGCATTAAAATGTAACTTCCTCCTCATTCCAGAGACACGGTGTCTCTTGGTCACAGGTCTGTCCCGTGAGCCTAGTACAGTGCCTGGCTCCTAGCTGGCACTTGGAAAATATTTGCTGAAAGTGAATGAACGGATTCCTGAGAAATTGGGATAAAAGATTTTTGAAAGCTCTTTTGGTGATCATATCACCCTGGGAACGGAAAGGTCTCTTCTGAACCCAAGTACCCTGATGTGAAAGGGAAAGGAACATGCTTATGGCACTCAGTGGCCACTGATGGCAAGGGCGTCTGAGCCCCTCGGTTGCTAATGCCTCTCTAAAGGAGCAGAGGAAATAGACCGTTAAGCTGCAGGTCCCCATTTCCAACAAGCACATCTGCGGCATGACGACACGATTAGAAGTAAACCCCACAGCAGCGGGTGGTCGCTCCATCCAGCCTCCATCCTCTCGTCTCCTTGGGGCTCTAGGTCTCCTCTGTTGCATGTGATCTTCGTAGGACTGTCAATAGAGGCGGCTTGCCCTATCCTGGCCAATTTGGGGGTTAGGGGGGTGGGCACATAAACCAGGCTTAGCCAATCAGACTTTCTCCTGGGCATAATCACAGGGATTAGGGAGCAACACAGCACTGAGAACAGTTGGTGCTGGAAGGAGGGTCCCATTAGTGCTTGCTTGCAAGATCTCTGGAGCTTCCCGTGTCCCCATGCTCCCCACGGGTGAGTTTCTTTCTCTCTCTGTGGCCTGTGATATCAGGGGCCCCCTGAACGGTAAGGACTGATGACTCACCCAGCCAAAGTTGGCTCCGGACCCAGCCAAAGCCCCTAACTTCCTGTCTTTTCCTGAGGCTGGAGAAGATCCAGCCTGCTTTCCCCAAGGTCTGGCCCAGACTCCTGAGTCCCCAGGTCCAGCTCAGCGTTCCCCTGAGCTGCAATTCCCTCCTGCCTCACCCTAAAGCTGGCTTCTGCCTGCCTTTCTGCCTCCTTAGCTTCTTATTCCAGAGGAGGGGTCTGGAATCTTCTCCCAAGAAAGCCGGTATAGCAGAGATTCCAGGTGGCTCCTAGTATCTGTCCCTCCTTTATGTCTAGTAACAGCACCCTCGATGTTTAGGTGAGCACATGGCACCCAGATTAAAGACCATGTTTTTCAGCCGCCCCTGCAGGTGGATGTGGCCAAGTTCCATCCAAAGGGCTGTAGGTGGAAGTGACGTGTGGATCTTTTAGGTTGTGTGTCCTTCTCTTCCCCTTCCCGCTTTCAGGGAGGTGGTTGCTCCCACGGGCCATGCGGAAAAGTTTATACTGAAGAGAAGGCAGAGCAACAAGAGAGAAGGAGCCTGGGACCCTGGATGACCCCTTGAAGCACAGCTTCAACGCCAGCCCCGGACCCCCTATATTCAGCCTATTCCAAGCAGCCAAATCTGTCTCCTAACTAATATGGCTGGACTGCTGAGGGCCCCGCAGGTGTCATGCAACAAACTGGGAGTGTGCGACTGGCAGAGAACACTCTGGGCGGGGGTGGACCAGGTTTGAAGTTTTACATGGACTCGTTCTGCATCCCTTTGGGGGCCAGGTTGGGGCTTGGCAGGAAGCTGCAGGGAGGCAAGTTCCAACTCACCATTAGAATGATTTACCGTTTTAATTTGTTAGGGCCTCCCAGGAATAGAACGGGCAGTCAGACGCTGGTGACTCCCTTTACGACAACAGGCAACCTGGGGCACTTGCCAAGGATGCTTAGGACTATGGTGGTTTCAGGTCCCTTCTGACACCCCCCCCCCCCAGTACTCTTTATTTCAACAGCCCGAGGTCCCTGATGCTAAGGTTTTGAACCCCTGTCTAGGACCTACAGACCTTATGTGATCTAGCTCCTACCCACTTGGCCAATCTGATCTTCTCTCCTCCTCCCCTCCCTCCTTGCTCTCTCTGATCCAGCTACCCTGGCTTCCTTGTTGTTCCTTGCATATGCCAGATACACTCCCAACCTCAGGGTCTTTGCACCTGCTGCTCCCTCTACCTGGAAGCCTCGCCCTGCCTCATCTTTACGTGGCTGCCTCCTTCTCATTCATTTAAATGGTACCTACTCAGGGCGTCCCTCTCTGACACCCACTCCGATTTAGCCACAACCCTGTGCCCCTCTGTCTCCCTCTCCACCAGCCAGACCCTCTCAATATATTTTGCTCAGTTTCCTTTTCTTCCAGCTACTCATCACTAACTGAAATGCTTTTGTTTCTGCATTCACTGGCTTATTTATTTTCTGTTCCCCTCCCCTACTAGAATGGAAGTTCCGTGAGGACAAGGACCTTCTCCATCTTATTTTCAGACACACTTCCTACGCCCCGAACACTGTGTGGCATATTAACACCCACTGAATGAGTAGATTGTGCTCAGAGTTCTTCGTGTGTGATTCAAAAGGCCATGATTATAATTTTTTGTTTCTCTGAGCTTCCATGACTCTAAGATTCTGTGGTTTTAGGATCTAACTATTCTAACCTCCTATGAGTCCATAACGGCATGATTTTTAAATTCCTATGAGCTGAGCTCAAAGTCAAATAAAACTCTGCTGTAGGAAGACACAAAACAACTCAGGGAAAAGAGTTCATGTTTGAAGACAGGACAAAACTCACTGTATCCAGGCAGTAAGAACACCAGGAAGAGAAGAAAAACACTCTTTTGCAAAGGGAAAGTGTAATGGCTAAAATCCTGAAGCAAAGTGCTCAGGGTCTGATGCCACTTTTCCCCCCAGGCTAGCCCTGGCCCCCTTACCGTCTCTTCTGGAATTGCTGGTCTATCTCTGTCAACGACTGGCCTTTTGTTTCAGGGACAAATAAATAGATGAAGCCCAGGCCGAAGACAGCAGTCAGCCCGTAGAGCAGGAAGGTCCAGGACAAGCCAATGGCACCTGGGAAAAACGGGGTGGGAGTGTGGGCAGGGCACAGCCTGGGCCAACTACTCCAACACTGAAAATCAGTTCACCCAAAGCAGATCCTCTAGATGGTAGATTTGCAGTATGCCTAACACGCTGTGAGATAAAAGTATCTTAAAGCAGGAGTAGGACTGGTTGTCCCAGAGGCAGGCAAAGGGCCGGGGCCCAAATCCACCAACATCTTGGCCATACACTAACCAGAGGTGCACACTTGGCCCCTGAAAATGTGCATGGAGGGAAAATGACATCCACCTCAGCAGCACAACAGCTGCGGGGGCAGCCTTGGCAAAGCTCAGCTCCGAAAAACCATCCTCAGGAACTCCATGAATCGGTTTTTCAATGAATCAAGCATTTGGCCAATTTGGCGTGTGACTGGTTTGCGAGAGAAGGCAGAAGCCTCAGCCCCACCCAGAAGGCTGTGGAGGCGGAAGCACTAATGACGTTTCAGACACCATTCTCACCTCCAACAGCCAGGGCCACACCGCCTCCGAGCAGCCACCCTTCACCAGCTTGACCTCCACTTAATCCTTATTCCAGCAGGGAGAGTGCTGGGCTGGGAGGAGGAAGACTGGGTTCTAGTCTTCTAACTAACTGCCTGGCTAGACTTGGGAAGGACGTATTTCCCAGTCTGTGAGATGGGGATGATAGGGATATGATACAGTTCTAATAAGCCCTCCCTCCCTCCCTCCCTCCTCCCCTCTCTCCCTCCCTCCCTCCCTCCTCCCCTCTCTCCCTCCCTCCCTCCCTCCCTCCCTCTCTCCCTCCCTCCCTCCCTCTTTCCCTCCCTTCCTTCCTTCCCTCCTTCCTCTCTCTTTCTCACTCATTCATGCCACATAAAGGGGATGCTTGAAGACTGAGGCACCAGGGAGAAGCTTGGATTCCCAGAGACTGTGTATGGGAGACAGGCATGGTGGGTGGGTTCTTCTGCCAGTATTTCTCACAGTCCCCCAGGGCTCCTCCTTTGAAGAGGAAACACTTGGGTGCAGGAAATGGGAAAACAACTAAACCCTAAGAACTGTGCCTTGGGGCCCTGCAGGGAAGGAGCCCCGCCCACCTTGGCCTCGATGACCCCTGGCGTTGGGTCAGGAGCCTCCTCAGCATCTCAGAGACCCTTCCCTGGTGCTCTGGGGTTTTCTGTGACTTATACCTGGACGATATGGAGGCCCAGGCTCTGTCTGGAGGCAGTTGTTTCTGGATCTCAAAGGAACCGGGCCAAGGGATTAGGTCAGAGGACTCACCAATGAGGTCGAGGAAGGAGAGGCTGATGAAGAGGTTGGCGGCCCAGTTGAAGCTGTTGCAGAAGGCAAAGGCTCGCCCTCGGATCTCCACGGGGTAAACCTCGCTGAGGACAAGCCAGGTCACTAGGACAGGAGAGCAGGGAGGACTCTTAGGCTGCAGCTGGGTCTGCCCAGAAAACTGAGGGGTTTCCCGGGACATCAGACTTTCAGTGTCCTGGGCAAACCGGGATGGTTGGTCACCCTATTCATTAAATTCCTTTCCAGCTAAAACCCTTCCGAGTGAGCTATCCAGGGGCACATTCTGGTTTTATGAGGCCTGAAGCTTAGGGGCCTTTATTTGGGGCCTTTATAAGAAAGAAAATATTACAAACATAACTTAGGCCTCTGCCCTCGGAAGAAGTACCTTCAGAGAAGCAAGGAGCCCTGAAATCTGAGTTCATTGTTCTCATGGTCAAGCCACCTCTAGTCCCTCTGAGACCCTGATGGATTCGGTCCCCAGCCTTCCCGCTAGGAGAGGTAGAAGGCTCCAGAGTTACCTGCAAGAGAACTTCCACTTACCTGGTCCAAAGCTAAAGGAGAAGGCGCTCACAAACAGCATCATGCAGACCAGTGCGGTCCAGTGCAGCAGGGCATGCTCAGGGGCAGGAGAAGGGCGTGCAGCGGGCATGATGCTTAAGGCTGGCAGAGGAAGGGCAGTGGGGTCCCCAGCTCCCGGATGAGGCTTGGTTTTCTCAGAGGTTGACAAGACTGGCCACCCTGGGCTCTGGTCGGTCATTGGCCGCAGAGGCGGAGCCAAGCCACTGGGCAGGCCAGAGTCTCCGGGGAAGCCTGACAGCCGAGTGGCATTGGGCACGGCCAGGCAGCTCGGGCCTGAGTCCATGGGCACAGCAAAGCTGACAAGGCCTATGCCGCTGACCGACAGGGCCATGAGCGCACAGCCAGCGATTAACAGGGCCCTGCGGCCCACTCGGTCCACCAGCCCCATGGCGGTCAGGGTGGCTGCCACCTTCACGGCGCCAAGCCCCACGGAGGCCAGCACAGCCGAGGAGGCCCCACGGAAGCCGACTGAATGGAAGATGGTGGAGGCGTAGCACAGCACGTTGGGCTGCCCTGTTAGCTGCTGGCAAAGCACCAGCCCCAGCCCCACCATGGTCCGGCCTCTCATGTTATCCCTGGTCCTGAAGAGGTCCAGGAAGGAGTATCTTGGCCTCCCCAGGCCCAGCTTCGTGGCCTCGCCTCCCTGGAGGGGGATGAGGTCCCTGTGGGCTGCAGCATCAACTGTACCAGGGGGGAGGAGGAGGAGGCTGAGGGACTGCAGGAGAGCAGGCGCAGTGGCCCAGCCGAACATATGCCTCCAGCCCCAGAGGGCACCGGCCAGCGCGTAGTTGAGCGCATAGGAGAGCAGGATGCCCACGGTGATGCCTGCCTCGTAGAGGGACACCAGCACTCCCCGCTGCCGTGGCCCAACCAGCTCTGACATGTAGATACAGCAGGCCATGGAGGAGAGGGAGATGGCAAAGCCAGCCACTGAGCGGCCCAGGACCAGCCAGGCCAGGGAGCTGGCCAGGCTCAGGCTCAGGCTGCCTGCCAACAGCACCAAGTTGCTCCCGAGGATGGCTTGCTTCCTGCCATAGCGGTCGATGAGGAAGCCCCCTACCAGGGAGGCCAGGAGAGCCCCCAGGAGCAGACTGCCCACCAGGAGCTCCTGTTCCGAGCAGCTTAGCCCAAAGTCAAGCTGAAGTGGCAGTAGGGCACCCGATATGACTGCCAGTTCATAGCCAAAGGTCAGGCCGCCCAGCAAAGACACAGAGGCACACAGTGCCAGGAAGAGTGAGGGTTGGCCTGGAAAACAAAAGTAACAGGGACAGAGTCCAGAATGTTTCCTGCCAGAGCATCCACCCAACCTCCTCTCCCTCTGTCCACCCGTCCATCTCTCCATCTATTCGCTCATCCATTCGTGCATCCTTCTACTACATCCATCCATCTATTCATTTATTCATCCATCCATTCAACCACTTCTTGCTTTGTCCGTCCATCCTTCCAACTATCTAATCCATCCATTCACCCATTTATCCACATACCCACGCATGCATGCATCCACCCATGCGTTCACTTCTTCCTTCATTCCATCCATCTCTCCATCCATCCATCCATTCATCCACTTCTTCCTTCATCCATTTCTCCCTCCATCCTTCCTTCTGTCCATCTACTTCACCCATTCATCCATCCATCCATCCATCTACCCATCCACTTCTTTCTTCATCCATCCACTCCATTCATTCACCCATCTATTTACTAATCAATCTATCCACCCAGCCCTTCATCATTCACTCCTCCATCCATCTATCTACTCCATCCACCACATTTTCATCCATTCATTGGCCCATTTATCTTCCCCTTAATTCACCCAAACATCCATCCATTTTTTGATCCATCTATCCACCCATCTTTGTATTCCATCCCTTATTTACCCAGACACACACCCATACATTCATGCATCCGTCCAATCATTCCAAAATTTATCTGGCATCTACAACACACCAGGCAGTGTTCTTGGGGCTGGCAATACAATGGTGTTTTCAAAGATCTGACATTCTAGTAGAAAAAGGCAAATGATAAATGAATTAATATATAATATAATTTCAGGTGGTGATGGGTGTCGTTTAAAAAAAAAAAAGGCAGAGAAGGGAATTCCCTGGCAGTCCAGTGTTTAAGATTCCACGCTCCCATTGCAAGGGGCCCGGGTTCGATCCCTGGTCAGGGAACTAGATCTCCCATACATGCCGCAACTAAGAGTTCGCCTGCCACAGCTGAGGAGCCCCTGAGCTGCAACTAAGGAGCCCACATGCTACAACTGAGGAGGCGGTGAGCTGCAACTAAAGAGCCCTGGAGCCGCAACTAAGGAGCCCACCTGCTGCAACTAAGGAGCCTGTGTGCTACAACTAAGACCCGTGCAACCAAATAAATAAATATTAAAAAAATAAAACTACTTTCTGTGTATTCTTGGATTAAGTAAATGAAGAAATATATTATGAATGATGGAAGCCACGTTTAAAAAAAGTAAAATAAAATGTGGCCAATGTGATTAAGGAACTGTGTTTTTAATTTATATTTAATTTTAATTAAGTGTGAAAATAGCCACATGTGGCCAGCAGCTACCATATGGGCAGAGCAGTTAAACGGGTTGCTCTTAATTTTTAATTCACATACATAAACAAATATTTCTGGAAGCGTCAGGAGTAATCCAGATGTATCTGTCTCACCCATCCCCCCCTGGACCTGACAAGAACATTCATAACATTATAGCCAGATTTATGCAGTGTTTGATCTGGACCAGGCACTGCTTTGAGCACTTTTAGTGTAATAGCTCATTTAATTCTCACCACAACTTTATGAGGTGGGCTTTTGTATTATTTATGAATGAGTAAACTGATCATCAGAGACTTGCCTAAGGTCAAGAGTAGTGAGTAGCTGTGTCTAGATTCAAAGCCAGGTGGTCTGGCTCCACAATCCCTGCCCCTAACCGCTCCATTATTATACCTTGGCATAATAAGATTTCCCCCTGTTCTCTTACTTCTGCCTCGCTCCATCTGTGTTAGGCAATTTTTGTGCTGGGGGGAGGAGTTTCACGGGTAGAGGAATCACTCCCCACTTTCTGCTCACCTTTCTCCCCATCACCTCTGCCCCCCAGGGAATAGCCTCCTACCATTCCCTGGCTGGCCTTGCCCTTCCTCTTCATGACCATCAGTAAATACTCTGGGGAGATTATGCTGCCCAGGTCCTGCCCCTTCTTCACCTCCCTCTGCCCCACCTCCCTCGGTTTCTGGAGTTTACTGCCAGAAGGGAAGGTTCTTCCAGGCCATATGAGGCAATCGAGTGAAAACACAGAATTTTCCTGCCATTTCCTGGGCTCTTCTTGAGGTGAACGGGAACCCAGCCAAAGGGCTCACAGGCAAAGCTGACTGTCCACGGGTTCTGCTGGAAAATGCAGCAGGACAGGTTCAGGTCACAGTGGTAAGAGCAGGACAGCAAAAATAAAAGTGAGATCAAACTGTAATAATAACAAGTGTCATTGATGGAGTATTTCCTCCCCGCCAAGACTTTAGGTGCCTTCTCTCAATTTATCTTCGTAACAACTCTAGGTGGTACTGCTACAATTATCCCCATTTGACAGATGGGAAAACGAAGGCTCAGGGTGTTCTCACAGCTGGGAAGCAACAGGATCAGAACTCAGACGCTGACCCATCTGATTCCCAAACCCATGCACTTAAGAGCTTTGCTGGATTGACTTCAAGCAAGAAGGGCCGATCAGAGATAGGTGGGGTGTGAGAGAGAGCAGGGGCGTAGGGGGCAGATGTGGAGGGGAAATAAAGTTCTCAGGAAAATCCCAAGTCACAAAGCATGGTGAAGTGCTACTGACCCATGGAGCTGTGAAGGACAGCCTCAGATGAGTCAGGGCCGCTAGAAAGATGGGGGAAGAGGATTCTCTTCCTTAAGCTTTCCAAGACTCCCACCACGTGCTCCATTAAGTCCTAACTCCTTAGCATGACCTCCCAGGCCCTTCACGAGCTGGTGGCCCCAGCCCAACTCCTTGGTCACCTCTCCTCCCCACCCCTGTCCCCACCTCTCCAACACACCCTGCAAACACTGGTTCCCGGCACACACCATAGATTTTCATGCCGCTCTGCCTCCGCATGTGCCTCCTCTCCCTCTCCTGCTCCACCCGTGTTTCCCAAATGCCCACTCATCCTCATCCCGGGGGGCCTCTGATAATACACGTCTGTTATTTGGCATGAGTCTCGCCGGCTCTGTGGGGAGCTGCCCTTCCCTGTCCCGTCTTCACCTCTGCCCCCGGATCTGGGGTAGAGATGACCTCCCTACTCCACCCCCACCATCCAGCTCCAGAGGTGTGTCCATGACCCAGATCTGATCAGCCAGCAGGTTCCCCGGCCTTGGACAGTGGTGAACGTCACGTGGCTGAACCTGAGCCAGTGAGAGCCAGTCCAGTCCAGGGTGTTTGCTTACTTGGGGTACTGAGCTGGTAGTTTACCTGCCTAGAGCAGGTGGGGGCCATCTCCCCTTGGGAGGGATTCCTGACAACCCTGCCTGAGCCCCTAGATCCAACCATGCCTGAAGCTGTGGACTTTTCAGTGACCAATAAATAACACCCCACCTTTTTTTTTTTTTTTTTTGGTTAAGCTACTTTGAGGGAATCTCTAATTCCTGTACGTCTTCCTCAACTTTCCAAGTCATATTTTTCACTTCCAACCAACTCTGCTCTCTCCTGCATTTGCTCACACCAAGTAATTGAATAAGTGATGTTTACCTTATTGAACTGAGCAGGATGGGGACGGAGACTTACTGTCTCTGTGCCTCCAGGGCTCCAGCCCCACCCTGACACCCAAGATGGGCTCAATAAAGCTTCTACTGAGTGAACAAATGACTGAGTCAGGGTCCAGGGCGGTATCTCCACGTCCCATTCCAGGACTGTGTCAGATACATTTGAACTTAATCTACTGCTCTAGAGCAGCTGGAGGAATCCTACGATAGTCCAAGTCAGACCACATCATTCTGCTCAGAGCCCTCCAAGGCTCCCACTTCACTCTGAAAAAAAGCCAATGTCCTGAGAGTGGCCTTCAAGGCCCTGTAGGACCCGCCTCCCTTCACTGGGCTCCAGCCACACCAGCCTCCTTCCCGTTCCGCCTCACTCCAAGCCTGTCTCATCTCAAGGCTTTTTATCAGGTGTCACCTCTGCTGGGAAAGCCCTTTCCCTCCATCTCAGAGGCCCCAATCCCCCTTCCCTCTGGTCTCTGCTCAAACGTCGCCTTCTTATGAGACCTTCCCCGGCCCTCTACTTAGAAATGCAAACTCCCGTGGCACCCAACACTTCGTATTCCCTTCTCTACTTGTTTTTCTCCGTGGTACTTTTCATCATCTGAAATAACTGTATGTTTTACATGTTTATTGGGCTCCCCAAGCAGAATGTCAGCCCCAAAGGAACAGGAATTGTTTGTTTGTTCTCAGTTGTCTCCTGATGCTGGGGACAGTTCCTGGCATACAGTAGGCACTCAGTAAGTACTGGTTGAGTAAACAGATGACTGAATGAATGAATGAACTCAGGACGCAGGGAATCCAGAGAGAAAGGATCTTGGCTTTTGAGCATCCTGGGGTGGGGGGGCAGTAGGGTCCAGAAGCTGGAAGGGAAGTAAATCCTGGCCTCCAAATTAGAGTGGCCTAGCCTGGATTTCGGAACCACTCTTCCTTTCTATGGGTTGTCTGTCTAAATATAGTATATGAAGCTGTCCCACACTGGAGGAAACCCCTCAGTTCTCTAAGCCTCTCACTGTGGCAGGCAGAGCTGCCCAGGGAGAGAATCAAGGGGCAGGCGAAGCGGAAAGAACCCAGGTTTTGGGTGCCCATATCACCAGCTGCAAGTCCCAGGGCACCCTCAGTTGGTGACACTAGAGCAGCATTTCAACCAGAGTCACAATGTATTGGGTCCCTCCCCCACCAGAGACCTGACATGTCTACCCCTGAAACTCCAGGGAAAGACCAGGTTTGAAACTGAACCGTGCAAATATGCTCACCCAGAAGGCTGGCTTCCAAATGTCCCAGCAACAGGTGATACTTACAGAGCAGCCACTATAGCCAACCTCACATCCTTTTCCAGAAGCCATACCTGTGTCAGCTGCCTTCATTCCTACAGCAACCCTGTAACACAGGCACTGGTGCCATTCCCATTTTACAGACGAGGCAACTGAGTCACAGAGAGGTAAAGATGTTTGTCTATGGTTGTGACAGAGCACAGAGTGACAGAGCAGGCTCTGAACTCGGGCAGTCTGACTCCAGAATCCCAATGTTGGGTGTGATAAAAAAATAAAAGCTCATGTTAACTGACCATTTACCGTGGGCAAGTGGTATATGGAGTAATTAAGTTCATATTCTCATGTCATTCACATGGCTTCCCTGTGATAGGGTGTTTTATGGGGACCGTTTTGTAGATGAGGAAACTGAAGGTCAGAGAGCTTAACTACACTGTCCCAGGTCACGATGCACCTGGGAAGTGGGGGAAGGAGGGCTGGTACCCTGGTCTTTCTGACCCCAAAATCTATACACAGGGCCACTGAGTCCCCGAGCCCTAAACCAATGTCTGCCATGTAGTAGGTGGATGAATATTGACCCTTTGATGCTTCCGAATCCAGAGAGAAAAACAGAAACCTTAGTCCCCTGGAGCAACAAAGAAATTCCCTCCCCGCCTCCCCCCACCCCATCTCCCCTCTACTGAGTATCTGGAGAGTAGAGGTTTTGTCTGTTTTGTGTAGGCCAGCATCCCCGGGCCTAGAACGGTGCCTGGTGGGAAGCGCTCCGCGAGTGGATGAATAAATTTGCTCCCTTCGGACCCTCCACTTCTTCATCTGCAGAATAGGAACAATTTCACTCGCCTGTTGGACGCTGTAAGGCTTAAAGCGGTCAGGAAAGGGTCTGGCCCCGAGTAAGCGCCCAGTATCAAGTAAGGAGCCCTCTCAGGTCACTTTTTTTCTGGGCAGAAAGGAGCATGGAAGGAAGTGGGCCCACGTCCCTTCCCAGCCACCAGCCAAGGCCTGCTGTCCCGGCTGCCACCCGAGTGGGCTGTATCTGGTCGGGGAGCTGCAGCTCAGGGCAAAGAGTGCGCGCGCAGGGATGGGGTCGCCGGCCTTCCCTGCCCGCAGCGCCGATCGCGACTTACCCATGCTGAGCAGGACTCCGAGGCGAGCTGGGGCCTCTGGGGACCCTGGCGCGCATCCCCCGGCCGAGTCCCCGCCTCCGCCGCCAAACTTTCCGGCCCGCCTCCAGCCTCCGTCCCTCCCTCCCCGCCTGCCCGCCGGCAGCGCAGCTGCCACGTCGGCCAGCCCTGGGCCCCTGTGCCTGGAGGCGGGACAGAGGTGCGCCCTGGACGTCCCCAGTCTGGCCCGGCCTGGCTGGGACCCCACCCACCGTCATCCCCACTGTGGGGAGGACCCCACAAGTTGTCTTTCCCTGTCCTCCCCGCGGGAAGGAGACTTCCCAATCACTGTGGTCCTCTAGTCCGGCCTCAGACTAGGCCACTAGTCTGGCCTCTTCAGCCAGCATGTGTACACACACACACTCATGCATCTACACTGACTCACACATACCCACTTCAGCCACTCACTCTCCCACACTCATCTTCCATTCACTGGACACTTAGGTTTGGACACGTCCCACCTGCGCTCAGGCAGGGTCCTAGGCCTGGAGGATGGGCTGGGAGAACCAGACAGACAGTTAATTTTGTTCCTCTGGAATTTACTTTCTGGTGGAGGAAGAAGAAAGAAAAATAACCAAAGGAACCAGAGAAATACCAGCTAGTAGTGACGAAGGCCAAGCAGAGAATTAAGCTAGGATGCTGGGTTAGGCAAGCACAGTGGCTGCTTTCGCTGGGGGTGGGCTTGGGAGGGGATCTCTGGGAAGGCTGCTCTGGGGAGGGGATTTCTGAGCTGAGACCTCAGGCTCCAGACAGAAGGGAGACCAAAGGCAAAGGCCCTGCAGGAAGGAGCTTGGGGAGCATAAAAACAGAAATGAAGTCATAGTGTCTGGAGCACAGGGGTTGACAGGGAGGGTGGAGGGAGATGGGGCCCGAGGCAGTGGTTGGCGAAGCGCAGACCATTTAAGTCCTTGGGAGGCCAGGGTTAGGATGGGATTTTATTCTAACTGACACAGAAATAATTGGGGAGTTCTAGCAGGTTATAGGGAGTAAGGGTAGAAACAGGGGACCACTTGGGAGGCTATTGCAAGGTGAGAGGTGAAGTTGATTTGGACTAAGGTGATAGCAGTGGGGCTGGAGAAAAGTTGGCAGATAGCAGATAGACTTGATAAGGGCTGACAGACTGAGGGAGGAGCAGTCTGGGGTGGGAAAGGAGATGTGAAGTTCTGTTTGGGCTGTGTGATGTTTAAGATGCTCATTAGGCATCCAAGTGGAAATAGATGGGCAGTTCCATATAAGAGCCTGGAGTTCTGGAAAGGAGCCAGGCTGGGGACACGCCCACTAATTCTCACCATCAGGCGAAAGCACAAATGCAGGCTCAGCACTCAGATGGTCAGAGGCTTCTCCGGCCTCTCACTGCATGTTCACACGTAAACATGTGTGTTCACATGTAAACACTTTTGTTCACATGCGTCAGTAGCCACACCCTCACCCAGCAGGAATCGGGTGCCACTGACACAGACAAGCATCTCGGCAAAGAAGACAGCATCGACATGACCTTCCGAGCCAAGGGACCTGTGTACAGTTCTGAAAATAGTAATAGCTGGGACAGTTGGAAAATATGGCTTCAAAATTCTTTGTTCCTTCCCTTGAAATCCGGGTGTGCTTGTAACTGTTTTGGCCGGTAGGTTGCACAGAGTGGCATCGTGTGATTTCTGAGGCTGGGTCACTGTGACACTGGACACAGACCTGGAGCTCTGAGCCTCTGAGAAGTCTGACTACTCTGAGCCTGCCATGCTGTGAAGAAGCCCAAGGCACACAGAGAGGCCACGTGTGGATCCTCCTGTGATGGTCCTAGCCTTTGAGTCTTCCCAGCATGGGCTCCAGAGCCAGCCTTCGATGATTCTGACTCCCAACCCTCAAATCTTTCCAGCTAGGCCCCAGACGTGGTGGAGCAGAGACAAGCCATCCCTGTTGTTCCCAGTCTGGATTTCTGACCCACAGATTCCATGAGTATAATAAAATGGTCGATTTGAATTTGAAGTTTTGGAGTAAATTGTTATGCAGCAACGATAACCAGAAACAACAGTTTAAACTATTGAGGGATAATTGATTTAAGCATCTTATGTGTATTTACAACTGCCTAATGAGTAGGGATTATTAAAATGTACCCCCATTTTATGAGTGAGGCAAAGGGAAGTGAAGTAACTTGCTTGCATAATAAACAAATAAATGAAAGCAATAGGGCTGGGACTTCCCTGGAGGTCCAGTGGTTAAGACTTTGCCTTCCAGTGCAGAGGGTGAGGGTTTGATCCCTGGTCGGGGAGCTAAGATCCCACATGCCTTGTGGCCAAAAACCCAAAACATAAAACAGAAGCAATACAATAACAAATTCAATAAAGACTTGAAAAATGGTCCACATCAAAAATAATCTTAAAAAAAAATCAATAGTGCTTAAGGACACACACTAGCATACATCTGATCCGGAAGTCAAACTTATGGGGAAAACTGGGCTCTTATCCATCACACTCTACTGCCTTTCTGGCATGGAGAAGAGCCCAAGGAGGCCCCTTGGCCATTGCCATGTGACAATTCCTCCTTCATATGAGTATCTGGAATTGTCACCAGGAGACCTGGTACAGAAAAGTCTGGGCTATTCCATTCCTGAGATAACCTATAGAAGGTTATCATATGATGAAAAAGGGCATGAAGTCATTGATCTTTGATTTCTATGGCTTGCATTAAGTCAGGAAGATGTTTGCATGCCTGCTGTCAGGTTCTATCTCTCCTAGAGAATAGAAAATCCCTCTTCACTGGTTGTCCCAAATGAGAAAGGAAATGTTCTAATTGGGTATTTTCGTAGGCATCTTCAAAAATGGCTTCCCTTGAGGGTAGGCAGGACCTAGTGACCCACTTCTAACAAATACAATACAGAAAAAATGATGATTGTTATTCTAGAGATCAGGTTATAAAAGCGATTTCCATCTTGCTCACCCTCTCCTGATCTCTTCTTACTCACTCACTCTGATGAAGCCACCTGTGTGCTGTGAGCTGCCCAGTGGAGAGTCCCACGTGGCAAGAATTGAGGGTGGCCTCCAGGCAATAGCCAGGAAGGAACTAAGGCCCTCATATTAACAGTCTGTGAGGAACTAAATCCTGCCACTAATCAAATAGTCATACAAACAAACAAAAAGGCAAAGCAAAAGAGGAGAGATTCACAGGGGCACCAGGAATTTTCAAGGTTGTTTTTTTCCCTCCTATGAGAAGTCAGGGAGGGCTTCCCTGAGGAAGTGGCATTTGAGCTGAGAATGGAAGGATGCCTAGATGGGTCTAGGCAACAAAGAGAGGGAAGAGCACTTCTGACATGGGAAATAGCAGGTGCAAAGACCCCATGGCAGGAGGGAGCCTGGCAAGAATGAGACTGAGAGAAAGCAAATGTGTGCCCTGGGACTTGCAGAGGGGAGTTTGGTGGGAGATGAGTCTGAAAGAGGGACATAGGGCCGCATGCAGGACCTCATGGATCTTTATCTGAAGCACAACAAGGAGCCACTGAAAGGTTTTAAATAGGTTTCCTACCACAGAAGCCAGAACCAGTCTGACCATAGCAAGCCTGGGACTTGTAAATATGTTTGCACAATGGATTTTCCAAGGAGGGTGTTGGAGGTTGGAAGGAACGAAAAGTGCCCACCAAACTGAGAAGGTTTCTGGAGAATAAAAAACGAGGTAGGCAGCTCCATATAATCAATAGATCAGTTTATTATAGGGTAACTTACAGGGTAGGAACTGGTGGACAGCAATCCACCCAGTGCATTTGCAGCTGCACTCTGAGCCTTCAAGGGGCCATTGGGACAACTTTATAGTTAACCTAGGGTATGGGGGCACATGCTTGGAAACAGGAAGTGTATTCCTAAGTCAAGATTTATGAATGGGTAACTAGTTCTGTAGGTACTAGGAGTACGTCAGCAAAGGTCTTCATCATTGTTTGGAGGCTAACGGAGCATAGAGGCCACCTGGACTTAAAGATCATTAAACAACATCTATTAACTACAAAGCCCTTGATGACAGAGAAAAGATTTACTATGCAGAACAGGTGTAGGTAGGGTCAGTGGAAGGACAGCAGGGACTGTACGGACTCAAGATGGCATCAGTTATGCTAACAGTCATACAGAGGGGTTCAGACAGATTTGGTAACCGTGGAGATGATCATGTGGACACTAACAATTATGATAATGAAACTACAAACCTGGGAAACTGGGCACTATAAATAGAATTGTTTCTGGGTGAGCTTTAAATATGCTGGCTGATGAAAGGTGCTGGAAACCACATTATATCAACACAAAGGGTCTGATGATGGAAAAGGTGACCTACCCTGTGCATGAATGAACGCAGGGACTGTGGAGCTGAGGGTTGGTGTCAGTCGTAGCAACCCTCAGACCCAAGGGCCTTTCTTCAATATTTCAAACAGGGTCTCAGTGATGAGGGAAGGAAAATGCACACGTGAAGTGTATGCAATCCACCAGGTACCCTCATGAGCAATATCTTATTTAATTTTAATAAGCTATTGCTAAAGTAAAACTAATTATCTTCTTTCTGAAGATGATGGATCTGAAACTCAGAGAAATAATGTTTGTTGCTGCATCACACAGTGTGACAGGCACTTGAGGCTGCCTCCACTATGTGTGAGAGTGAACACATATACATTAAAAAAAAAAATCTGGGAAGAAACGTTATACAATAGTTGACGGGGGGTGGGGCGCGGATTGATGACAGGGATAGGGGTTCTTCAATTTTTCTTGTGGACAAAACTGTGTATTGTAAGAATTTGTTATAGCCTGTATTAGGTTTGCAAATAAAATAAACAGTAAAATTTTATTTGCTAATCACTCCCAGTTCGGCTTGGGTTCTGTCTCCTTTGAAAAACTCCGCAGCCTGATTATCCCCACCACCCTCTCTGACTCTCTATTATTATTATTATTTTTCTGTAAGATGGGCTTTCATCATTTAACTTTATTCCTCCTGAATGCACTCAATAAACACTAGTGTAAGCCCCTATTGGGGGGCAATTCAGGAGCCCAGGGACGAGGAGTTCCAAGAAGAGAACTCCTGGGGGTGCAGCTTCCCGGGATCCATAAAGACTCCTGAGGAGAGAGCAGATTCCGAAAAAGTTTTTCCTCGAGAAGCACCGAAGCTTTCCGAAAATAGCCGAAGAGCTGGGATGCAGGGGCCAACAAAGCCGACCGCGAGTCACCAAGGGCTTCCGGAAAGAGCCGAGGAGTGGAAAGAGCGGTTTACCGAGAGTTTACGGAGATAGCCGAAGAGCAGGGAGGCGGGGACACTAGGCTTCGAAAAGAGCCGAAAGGTTGGGAGGAGGAACCAGTTCCACAAGGCGGAAGTGTCGACGTTCGAGTGGCCGAAGAGCTCCGAGGATTTCCGGAGCTAGCCGAAGAAGCTCCGACAGTTTCCGGAGAGGGCCGAGGGTCTCCAAGCGGCTATGTGGAGGCGCAAACATGGCGGAGGAAAGTCGTGTTGACAGTGAGCTGAACGAGGGGCTGGCGCCCGCGGCCGAAGCACTGGTAGCGGCCCGGGAGCGGTGCAGACGCTTCTTAAGCGGCCTAGAGCTGGTGAAGCAGGGCGCCGAGGCGCGCGTGTTCCGCGGCCGCTTCCAGGGCCGCGCGGCCGTGGTGAAGTACCGCTTCCCCAAGGGCTACCGACACCCGGCGCTGGAGGCGCGGCTCGGCCGGCGACGGACGGTGCAGGAGGCCCGGGCGCTGCTCCGCTGTCGCCGCGCAGGTGAGGCGGCCCGGCTTGGGGGCGTGGGGGACGCGGGTAAGGGGCTCCCCTGCGCTGCGGGCCGCGATTTGCCTGTTTCTCTGTTTGTACCTTCTGCATGGCTTTCCGTTAAGAAATGTGATCCTTTTATCCTTCTTTTCGTTCATTAACTCTTCAGAAGCCGCTTGGCCTTGCAGCGACTAGCATTTGTCCCGGAGCCATTGGCGCCTGGTTCAGTTCTGGCTCTGCCACTCTTGCTCAACGTTGCGCATGTCATTTAACTGCCCTGAACCTCGGTTTCCCCATTTGTACCGTCTCAATTTTCGATCATTATCTTTTTTTCCTTTTAAGAAGCAGACGTAATTACAGGTACTTGCCCAGGAGCCAGGCTCTCTTGGTTCAGATACTCCGCTGCTTCATATATAGCCTTTCAGCAAAGTTATATAACCTCAGCCTCAGTCTCCTCACATGTAAAGGGAAGTCATTGTAGCTATATCCATCTCATAGGGATGTTGTGGCCATTAGACGAGATGTGTATGCCATGTATTATGTTTGAACATAGGACTGACTTGTGGCGCTCAGTAAACATTAGATTTCATTCAACTGTTTATTTTTTCATTAAAACATCATTGCACCATGACCGTAAACCTTGTCCTCAGATGAGAAACGTAGGCTCAGAGGAGTAACTTGCCCAAGCGACCCAGCCAGGCTCTCAGCCCATATCCCTCTGACCCAGAAACACTGGCTTTTCACTTTTACACTTCCTACCTTTGTTTCTGTCATTGGTATTTTTTAGGTGTCTGCTGTACTCCCAGACACTGTTAGGTGCAGGGAGATCTGGAGGAAATTCAGTAGCGGACAAGCAGATGCACCTCTGCCCTTGATCATATTTAACGACATCATTCACGTGTTCGTATTTTCTATTTTCACCCTCTCCAAGATCTAAGTTCTGTTAAGCTGGGATCATGCCTGCTTTGTTTTCTGCTGTATCCCAACAGATTTGTCTCCAGTATCTAGAAGTGTCTTGAGGGTGATTGACATTCAATGAAGATTCATTGAATCTTCAAATTCAGAGAAGTCATTGAATTATTGGAAGTATTGATCGCATGTTATAGAAGCAGAAATGGCAGCTTAGAGAAATTAATGTGACTTTAAAGTTATACGGCTAATAAGGAAGGGAGCAGGGATTTAAACTTGTCCTTCCTCTCTATAAAGATGAATCTCTAAGCCGGCACATGGCTTGGTCTCCTGCTGGTGTCTTTGTCAGGTAGAAACGGCTCTGACTGGGCTGTGCTTACCCTTCTGGCTCTTTATTTTGTTTTGTATTTTAGCGAATAAGTATGACAAATGAAGTCCAATCATAAAGGGTGGAAGGGAGGAGGGAGCTTTGGCTCTGCTCACCTTAGCTATGGGGTGGTCTTAGCACAGTCCTGCAGGGGAAACTTCCAGAGAAGTTAAGCTTTACCATTCTGCAGCATTCCTAAATCTTTTTCCCGAAATACGCAGATACACACTGTTAAAAATTGGCTCAGTCTTTGAAAATTAAGCTTACTATTTAAAAAAAAAAAAGAAGTATCTAATTCAATGACCCCTTGTGTCTTGGTTGCAGGAATATGTGCCCCGGTTGTCTTTTTTGTGGACCATGCTTCCAACTGCTTATTCATGGAAGAAATTGAAGACTCAGTGACTGTTCGAGATTATATCGAATCCACTATGGAGACTGAAAAATCTCCCCAAAGTCTCTTTGGCTTAGCCAAGGCAATCGGACAGGTTTTGGCTCGAATGCACGATGAAGACGTCATTCATGGTGATCTCACCACGTCCAACATGCTCCTGAAACCTCCCCTGGAACAGCTGAACATCGTGCTCATAGACTTTGGGCTGAGTTTCATTTCAGCACTTCCGGAAGATAAGGGAGTTGACCTGTACGTGCTAGAGAAAGCCTTCCTTAGTACCCATCCCAACACCGAGACTGTGTTTGAAGCCTTTCTGAAGAGCTACTCCGCTGCCTCCAAAAAGGCCAGGCCAGTGCTTAAAAAATTAGATGAGGTGCGCCTGAGAGGGAGAAAGAGGTCCATGGTGGGGTAGAAGAATTCTGTGACGACCACAGACGGTTAAGCTGTTCACAGTAACTTTGAAGGAATGCTATGAATATGAGATTCGACCTAAATAAAGGTGGTGGGATATTTTTAGGTGCCGTCTGTGATCATGCTTCTTAGGCATTATCATCTGCGGTTGACTGTTCTCAAGAGCTTCCTCTGTACATAAGACATGTCTGGCAGAACTGGGCATTCAGAACAAATCTCAGGCTTTCTCTGCAATTGTGCCGTGTACACCTCAGATCAAGGGCATGGCGTTACAAAACATTGAACCACATACTGAGAACGTTATTCTGTTTTCAGTCCTGGTGAGGCAAGGACAGTCTCAGTTGGTGACAGTATGTCTTTATCAGCCCTCTAACCCAGCCTTTTTTGTTGTTGTGTTCATGACAGACTCCTCTTTGAAACCAGTACAGTGGGTTACAACCAGCATTTTAAGAAAGAAATGGAATCAGAGATTAGAAAATATCAGAGCACATTACATGTAGTATTGTAAGTATTGTTTTATGAAACTTGTTTGAAATGTGTATATAGACAATGGTATGTACTAGGTTTTGATGTAAAATACAGTTCTTTTTGAGAGTCATGGTAAAAAAAAATGATGAAAAATGCCGCTTAACTCCAATTTCTCCTTTTTAAAAAAAGCAGGCTCATAGCTTTCAGGCAACTGAAATTTGTATTTCTGTACAAGACTTTTTTTTTTTTGTGGTACACGGGCCTCTCACTGTTGCGGCCTCTCCCGTTGCGGAGCACAGGCTCCGGACACGCAGGCTCAGCGGCCATGGCTCACGGGCCCAGCCGCTCCACGGCATGTGGGATCTTCCCGGACCTGGCTCAAACCCGTGTCCCCTGCATCAGCAGGCGGACTCTCAACCACTACGCCACCAGGGAAGCCCCTGTACAAGACTTTTTATTTTTGTTGCTCTGTGTTTTTATGGCTATCTTCTAATTAAGAAGTGATTGGTATAAAGTTCCTTTTAATTTCTATAGGTAAAAAAGCCAGTTTATATCAAAGACAGTAAGTAGATTGAGCAAAGATAGTGAAGTAGCTTGGAAATGACTGAAGTTTGATAAAACCTGGTTTAAGAGAAGGTGCAGGAAAACTGTATTAAGATGCAAAGTACCGCGAATTAGCTCACACTTATCCTTGCCCAGTTTCTTCCCCCAAAGAATTTGTGTGTGTGTTGGGAGGGAGGTGGGTATAATAAAACACTTTCCTCCTGTAAGCTCTAACTAGCAAGTCAATATTTTGAGTGTGGGCACTGTACTGGGTACCAGGTGCGATGATGAGCAAGATGGACAAGCATGTTCTCATGGAGTGAACATTCTGGAGCAACTTGGACTGTGGCAGTTTTGTTCACCACAGTTATCACTCTGCACACGGCAGATGCCCAGGAATGAAAGAAAACTTCCCTTTCTGGGTAGTGGTGACTGGTTGAGAGAACTGACATCATTGTTTGGTTACTACACGTCAGGCATTGAATCTAAAACAACGCTAAATTAGGTATTGTCACCATTCGATAGAGAAACGGGCTCAGAAGGGGGGGAGCTTGTCCAAGATGTCACAGGTAGCAAGGGGTACTTTTCCCTGGCTCCAAAGCCCGTATGCTCTCCACTGATCCTTTAAGAAATGAGATGCATTTCAATATATGACACATATTATTATAATATGTGTTGGCATTATGTTACACTATTTTCAAATAATTCCAAGGCCACAGGAGCTGGCCATAATTTTTTTCAATGAATATTCTCAACGTGACTGAGGGCTTATTCCCCAGTTTCCTTATATAGTGTACAGCTAATATGGCTAATCTCTACCTCGTGGGGAGAATGGTTGAGCCACGCGTGCAGCTGTTAAGTCAGCGGATACCTAGCGCTCGCTGTGTGCCAGGCACTGGAGATACAGAGGGGACACGAATGTCTCTGGAAACAAACTGAGTCCCTAAGACAATTTCAGACAGTGATGAGGGCTGTAAAGCAGTGGCCCCCAATCTTTCTGCCGCCAGGGACTGGTTTCGTGGAAGACAGTTTTACCCGGGGGCTGGGGACGCTGGTTGAGGCGGTCCTGCCAGCGATGGGGAGGAATGGGGGGCAGCAGATGAAGCTTCGCTCGCTCGCCCGCCGCTTACCTCCTGCTGTGTGGCCTGGTTCCTAGCAGGCTACGGACCGGTACTTGGTCCCGATCCGAGGCCCGGGGGTCGGGGACCCCTGCTGTAAAGGATGCTGAGATTCTGAGTGACCTCGAGTGGAGGGAGAGGGAGGAGTGGTCAGGGAAAGCCTCGATGAGGTGACCTTGGGAGTAAGACGTGACGGAGAACCAGGAGATGGGGCGTGGGACTCCAGGTACCGAGTTGGTGAAGGAGGAGCATCCCTGAGGGACAGCAAGGCTGGTGGGGCTGGTTTGCCACCGAGCAAGGAGGAGGAGCAGGAAGTGAGATCGGAGAGGTGGGTAAGTGCTGGGTCACGCAGGGCCGAGTAACAAGGCTGGGTTTTTATTCTTAATGCAGCTCAGGAGGTTTTAAACCAGGAACATCTGATGTACATTGTGAAAGGATGACATTGGTAGGAAAAAAAAAACTGCAAGGGGCCAGAGTGGAGGCAAGAAAACAGTGAGAAGGTTAGCCTGTGATGAGGATAGACCAGGGTGGAGGTGTCGGCAAGCATGCCGCAAGCCATGTGGCGGTCACTGGGGTATGTGACACGGTGGCCAGGGGCTGTGGGAGTGGCGGCAGCAGCAGCAGGGAAGCAAAAATGACCTCTGCAGGCATTAAGAGGGAGAGGGAGACGCCCGGAGGCTGGAGACACTTCACACGTGTTCCCAGCAGGAGTATTTCCTGTCTTCATACTCAGCCTGTGGCCAGGGCAGGGAAATAAGGATTAACAAGCCTTCCTAGGGGAGCAGTGGATTCTTCTCCTAGTTCAGTGTCTCACAGAGGGCTAAGGAACCCTCTGCAATCCCAGATCCCTCACAGTCCACAGGGGACAGACAGCCTGTGCTTTGCACCGATGAGCCAATGGCACCAGCAGCAGCATGTGAATTCCCACCGGTTATAACAAGGGTTATAACGGATGAGGAAACACTCTTAGCAGTGAGAAGTAGGACGTCCTAGGGTCACAATAAGTAACAGAGCTGGGATTCAAGCCCACATTTTTAACAACAGTTAACTTTATTGAGCAGTCACTAAGTTCTTTGTGTGCATTAACCCATCTTACAGAGGAGACAACTGAGGCACAGAGAAATTCAGTCTTGCCCAAGGTCACACTGCTAATGAATGGCAGAGCCAGGGAAATGTGATGTGGCACAGATGTGTCCAACACTGAAAAGGACACAGGCCCACACCTCCTGGGAAATTGTGGCCAGTCCACTGGCCACAGAATGCAGTTACCCAAGCCTGGCCTACTGAGTGCCCCGTATAGGCATGCTCTTATTAAATGATCTGAGCTGGCCGAGAGGAGATGGGACCACCTGCACTCATGAGGCACGTGGGCTGTAATCTCTGCCATAACTGAGGACGTTAGCCTGAATCCTGATCCTGGTTCCAATACAATCTTATTTACAAAAACAGGCAGCTGGTTTGTGGGCCACACTTTGATGTTTTAAAATATTACATTAACATATTTGTCTCAGTTAACTGAGTTTTAGGGGCCCCCTTAAGTTTGTGCCCTAGGCAGGTGCTTCTCTTGCCTCGCCAGAGCCCTGACCCTGCCATCACCAACTGACATAGCCCCTGACAGTGAGTGCCCACGTCCTTACAAGGCCCTGCCCCAACCCTCTTTCTGGAACTGGGTATCTCCTCTTTTGTCTTGAATTCAGGGCCCTGCAACTCCAAAGGACTGAATTCCCCTTTCCCCGAACCCAGTGGAGTGGCTCTCCTTCGCCACCAGAGGTCGCAATTTACCGTCATTCTCTGTGCAAAGAAGTCAAAAAGAAACTTCCCTCCCCTTCCATCCTCTTTCACTTCCTTCTCTCCTCCCCTCCTCTTCCTCCTCTGTCCTCCTCCCCTCCGCCTCCCTTGTTCTCTTTCCTCTCCTTCCCTCTCCTCTTGCTGTCTCCCTCCCTCCCTCCCTCCCTCCCTCCCTCCCTCCCTCTCTCCCTCTCTCCCTCTCTCCCTTGACTTGTTCATTTATTCACTCAACACCTTAGCTGAGTGTCCAGATGTGGTGGGCACCATGCTTATCACTCAGGATCCTAGTGAGCAAGACAGACCACACATGGGGACGTCTAGTTCCCTCCCGCCTTGATTTTGTCATGCGTTCTCTCACTCGCTCGCTCACTCACTAGGCATTTAGCAAGCATGTTGGCTGTGTCCAGCTCAGTGCCAGATCCCGCAGAAGCTACAGTGACGAGGAAGTCCCCCTACCACCATCCCAGTGCCGCTGCAATCAGTGGTTTCCCCACTGCTCCCTGTCCCCCCCACCCTGCCCCACTTCTGCCCTGGACCCCCCTGCATCCTTCCTCAGCAGCCAGAGACACCCTTGTAAAGCCAGAGGATGCCACTTCCCTCTCAGAAGTGTGATGGCTTCCATCCCATGCCTCCTTGCTCACCAGCTGCATGGCTTGGGACCCCCTCACTGTACCTCTGAGCCACAGTGTCCTCATCTGTAAAATGGGCTAACAGTGGTGTCTACCTCGTGGAGCTGCTGTGAGCACTCTGCTGGGTCGGAATTCCCAGGAAGCACACTCAGCGATGCAGTTTAGCATGTAGGATGTTTATTAAGGTGTCAGCCTCCAGAGAAGGGAAGGGAGGGAAGGAAGCAAGGGAGAGCGGGGGCAGAAGTGGGGCTGAGAGGCAGACCCAACAACAGCCTCGGCCAGCTTCCCCGCCCGGTGGAGGGGGGTGTCTGCAGCTACAATGGCCCTGCAGAGATGTCCCAAGTTGGGCAGAGATGGCCAGGCCTTCATACTCTCACATCACCCAGACATGAGCGGGCCACCCCTGGAAGGGTGTGGGCTTGGATGAGGCCACTCTGCTTGTGACTCGATTCCTGAAGGGGAGACAGATGAAGGCTGCCTGCTGACTCCATCTGCATCTGGGGCAAGCAGTCCTTCCTTGTAGAGGAACTGGGTCTCACATCAGCGCCCCCATAAGCATTAATGAAATAATGTACGTAGAGCACTACTGCAGTGCTTGGCACATGGTAACAATTAGCTGTTGTTGTTATTATTATATAATTTATATTGCTACTATTTTTAGAGACCAACAAACAGGCAATTATAATAC